TGGATATGGAGTTTAGAGTTACACACTAAAGAATTTCAGGATTACAAATATATGACAAATAGAAAAGCTAAAATCCTAAGGCATCAGGGGAACTCCCTCATGGCTGGGCTGTGCCAGACAGCTGTGCCAGACAGAGCTGCCAGGCAAGGAGGGGTTCACTTGGGATGCCCACACCCCTCTTGTTTTCCCTCGTGTCCCAGCAATGCAGCAGCAGAGCTGCAATCTCACTTGGTTTGGGATTTTGCAGTGTTACCCTCTGGGATGTCTGTGTCTCAGACCCCAGGATGCAACCCCCAGGTGAAGATGCTCGTGGACACACACACCCTGCAGTCCCAGAGCTTTCATCTTGTCCTGAAGGTCACATCTGCCCCTGGGTACCCATCTCACTGGGGACACAGACATGAGGTGCTCTGAGTTGTCCCATCTGGCTTCCAGCTGCCCATACAGATGTGTGCAAGTCTCCTGTGGATCCCTTCTCCTCTCTTTCCACTCTGTGTGATGCTTCAGTGGCTGTGAGCATCTCAGATGGTTCTGGTCACCCGTGTTGGCCATGGTGGCTTCTACATGGGGTACAGACACCCACATGTGGGCACCTCCCTGGGATCCACCATCAGCCTGATGGAGAAGCCTTGGGGGCATTGTGTAGAATCATTTCTGGGCCATCAGAACAGGTATTTAACTGTGCTGGGAAAAGGATCCTTTGGGCTGAGGAGCACTGGGGAGCCAGAGGAAAACCTTTCAGCAAAGCTGACCTGTCCTCGTGCTAGCCTGGACATGCCCAATGTCACTGAGTGTGACAGTCCACAGCAAGCACAGCCTGGAGTGAAGGGGTTGGGCAGACCCCGGTGGGAGATGAGGACCTCTTGGATTTGAGGAGCAGCTGAGGGAGATGGGGGACTTTCCTGGAGGAAAGGAGGCTCAGGAGGGACCTTCTCACTCTCCACAACTCCCTGACAGGTGGGTGTCAGGCTCTGCTCCCAGGGAACAAGGGACAGGAGAGAGGAAACACCACCAAGGTGCCATTCAGATTGGCTATTAGGAAAAATTTCTCACTGGAAGTGTTATCAAATCCTGGTACAGGATGCCTCGGGCAGTGATGGAATCACATCCCTGAAGTTGTTCAAAAAACACACGGATGTGGCACTACAGGACATGGTTTAGTGGTGAGCAAGGTGCTGCTGCTGTCCTGATGATGGGGTTTGATGATCTTGAAGGTCTTTCCCAACCTTTCTGATTCTGTGACGTGCTGGAGAAGTCCCAGCAGAGTAGAGGTGGTTGTCAATGCCCACGAGGATTTCAGCTGGACCGTGCTCACACAAAGCTGTCCCAAAGGAGGGCACAGGGCTCTGCAGTGAGCACCCAGCTCAGTCTCTTTCCCCTTTTGCCTTGTCCTTGCAGGTGTTACATCACCCTGACCCAGTCTCTGCACCTGACCATGAGCGGGGCCCCTGCTGGCCCTGCTGGCACGGGCAAGACAGAGACCACCAAGGACTTGGGCCGTGCCCTGGGCATCATGGTGTACGTGTTCAACTGCTCTGAGCAGATGGACTACAAGGTACTGCTGCCCCAGGCTGGGCTGCTGGAACCTGCAGGATGGGAGTTACCCTGCTGATCCGTCCCCTCTGCCTCCCTTCCTGCTGAGCAGCTTTTCCTCCTCCTCATCATCATCTCTAAGGCTTGCACGAGGTTCTTGAGGAGGTAGAGACCTGAGCTGTGCTCTCTGCTCTGCTCCACCTTTCCCTTCCCTTCTGGAGTTGGGTTCCACATGAAATTCTTCACAAATTATGGCCTGTCCAGTCGAGACCAAGGCTGTGCTGATCCATTCCAGACCCACAGGCTACCTGTCCCAGGCATGGGGAGAGACCTCTCCTGGTTTCTCAGGATCCTCTCCTGGGATAAGGCCAACACTGGGTCATGGGGCTGATCCCTCTGCTCTCCACGGGCACTGGGTTTGGTGGCCTTGGATCATATTTTATCCAGCTGAGGTCTCTCATGGATGTGGGGCTGTCAGTAACTCAGCCCAGGTGACCTTTGGATGGAACCAGAGAGCAGAGATGTCGAGAGTGCAATTAGCAAATCAAGTGGCAAACTGTGCAGAGCTATAAATATTATAATTGAGTTGTGCCTGCTGCTCCCGTGCACTTTTCTAAATACCCACAATAGACTGTAAATTGCTATAAATAAACAGGCAGGGAAATCAAATCCGTTTTTTGCTGGAGTTGATTCCGTTTGTGATTTCACTCTTGTAATTTTATTTTATTTTTTTCTTTTCAGTCCTGTGGGAATATTTACAAAGGCCTTTCCCAGACAGGAGCCTGGGGCTGTTTTGATGAATTTAACAGGATCTCGGTTGAGGTCCTTTCTGTGGTTGCTGTACAGGTAAGAGGAGAAAAGCCTGTAGATAAATACAAGCCAGCCACCCTTCCTTTCCTTTTCCCTTCTTTCCCTTTCTCTTTCCTTTCCCTCCCACAGGGCCAGAACAGAAGGGTTTGAGTCCTGGGGGACTTCAGTGCTGAAAATTGAGTTGCCAAAGTATCAAAGTTTTTCTGGTCCCAAATGTCAGCTGTGAGTTCAGTTTTGGGATCCCAGTGTTTGACTGAGGTGCTGAACTCTTCCTAGGTCCAATTTGGGGCTTGGCATTGCAGAAATTAAAGTCTAGAGCCCAGAAGTTTCTACACTTCTATAAATGTTTTGTTCAAAGGAATTGTTCTGAACCCCTCCAGGAGCTCCTCACTCTCATCTCTCTTTTTCTCATCATTGTACCTCGTGTGATGTCCCAAAGAAATCCCAGGCAGGTACAGGTATTTGTGTGTCGTTCCCTCTCCATTTCCCTTCCATCAGGTTCTAGTTTAAAGTTGTCATTGAAAAAACCTCTTTGAGGATCTTAAAATAAAAGGGGAAGCAGAACAAAAGAAGCCCAGATATGACTCAGCTGCTAATGATTCCCTGGCTGCTGGCTGGAGGTGGTGTCTGAGCAGGGCTGTCACTCCATCATCGCCTCTCTGCTATTAGGGGGTAACCATGGCGATGTTAATTGGCTGCCTTAGTCATGCAGCTCCTGTCGTGTGGGTCCTCACATAGAGAAACTCCCTTAATTGCTTTGCTTTAGGGTGGCAAACGGGTGAGTTTAGGGCAGAGCAGAGATTGCTCCCCCATGGAGTGGTGTTAAGTAGGAGATGAGCTGGCTGCACGGAACTGCTCCTGTGGGAAGGAGCCAAGGAGGGTCTGGCTGTAATGGACTCCAGAGTTGAAGGTGGGCACTGAGGTGGTCTGGCTGTGTTTTCTGTTTAGGAAAACATTTTTTATGAAAAGGGTGATAAAGTACTAGAAAAGTCTGCCCAGGGAGGTGGGGGAGTCACCATCCCTGGATGTGTTTAAAAAAAGTTTGGATATGACACTGGGTGCCATGGGTTAGTTGAGGTGTTGGGGAATGGGTTGGACTCAATGGTCTGGAAAGTCTCTTCCAACCTGGTGATTCTGTGATTCTGTGATTCTGTGACTCCATGGGAATGGAAGGTGGGGAATAAACTGGTCTGGCCGTAATAGACTCATTCTCTTTAAAAAGTGGGGGATGAGAAGAACAAAGCTGCAATCAGGCAAATGGAAAAGACCAGCCAAGTGTCTTATAAAGCAAACTCTTGCAACTCTTTTCAGTTTGACTGTCCAGTCTCTTCAGCCTTTTTCTGCTTTTTCACTGTTGGATTGTGATGGGAGGCACACAGATTTACCTCAAACAGTGTAGAAAGCTTTATATGGTCAGTAAAAACCCAAACCAGAGCAGAGATAAGCCCCAGTCATCATGGGCCAAGTGTAGGGAGGGCAGCAGTGCTGTCTGGGGTTTTTCATACCTGAACACCAGCACTAAGCACTGCCTTGGTTCCTAGGTGAAGAGTGTGCAGGATGCAATCCGGGAGAAGAAGAAATCCTTCAATTTTCTGGGAGAAGACATTAACCTAGTCCCCTCAGTGGGGATTTTCATCACCATGAACCCTGGTTACGCAGGACGAACCGAGCTACCTGAGAATTTAAAAGCTCTCTTCAGGTGAGTCGAGGTTGGGTTTTGTGACCTGTGTAACAAAACTGTTACAGAAATTGTGCTTTGGAACATCCAGGCTTCATTTTCTTGAGAAATTCACTCTCATTGGGGATTCACAGATGGTTTCAGCCTTGTGCACCAAGCCTGGATCAGGGAATGCACAGGGAAGACAAGGGAGCTGTGTCCAGTGCCACAGGAAAGGCAGTGTGGGCAGACTGGGAGAAACTCCAGTGGCTCACTGGAGACAACCTGCAAGATAAAGCTACAAATCCACTGTCCTCAAGCTCTATAGCTAACAATTGCTCTGCAGCCCTTTCCTGCCTGTCTCCCTAGGCCCTGTGCAATGGTTGTGCCAGACTTTGAGCTCATCTGTGAGATTATGTTGGTGGCCGAGGGCTTCCTCGAGGCCCGAGCCTTAGCCAGGAAGTTCATCACGCTCTACCAACTCTGCAAGGAGCTCCTGTCCAAGCAGGTGAGCCCTCTGTGAGCTGTGCTCTGGATCCCCCAAATCAGGGATGTGACACTCTGCTCTAGATCCTCCAAACCCAAAATCAGGGATGTGACACTCTGCTCTAGATCCCCCCAACCCAAAATCAGGGATGTGGCACTCTGCTCTAGATCCCCCCAAAATCAGGGATGTGACACTCTGCCATGCACCTCCATGGCTGAAGCTTCACAGCTTTCAGTCACTGACTGTGTTTGTGGCAGCTGCTGGAGAAGGCAGGGTTTGTGATCACCAGAACAATGACATTTTCAAACTGCTCTCCTGGAGGGTCTGCAGGGACAGAAGCACCTGGCCAGCTGCATTAGTGAGAGACATTTTTCAAAAGCCTCAAATGCCACCATGGTTGGGGCAGTATTCAGTGACCCTTTGCTTTCCAGTTAATTCCTATTGAGTCTCCTGCCTGCCCGGGGTTCATGATGGCTGTTCCTCTCTTAGTCCAACTAAATATAGAAATACTGCCTTTCATATCAAGTGTTGACCGTGTAAGGTCACCTCCAGTGCAAAACTCTGGTTAATCAGATTTTAACCTGTCCTTGTCTGCATAGGTCAAAGCTGGGATGAGTTGAATCAGGACTCCAGATGGAAAACCTGATCTTGGCTGTGCCATCATGAGCTTGGGTGGGTTTCTGCCTTGTCTCAGAAGCTTTGTGCTGTGCAGCTGGAGGCCCTGTGGGAGCTGTGGCCTCCCACATGAAACAGTCAAACTGTTGGGCTGTGCTCTGCAGGGTCTTCATGGAGCAGAAATAGAAGGATTTGTTTGTTGGCTTGGGAGTTCCTCTCATGCCCCTTTAGGATTCTTTTCCAGCAGTGTCCTCTCTGCTCCTGCTTGGTGGATTATCCCCAGGCTAGGAACCTGGTGATGGAGAAATTTGGGTGTCTGAGGCCTCAGAATGGACTAACAAGCCTTCCACCTCAGTAGCTCCTGCAGATCCAGGGTTCTGGCAGGCCTTGCTTAACCTGCACAAAGGCCAAGCAAACTGCTTTAGGGTTTAGGGGAAAAAAACTGCTTAGGTCTCCAGAGTACAAGTCCTACTGCTGACTTAGTGTCAGCTCTGAGCCCAAGTGATGGCATGAGCAGCTGAATGATTTGACTTGTTAGTACTCTCCCTGGTGGGAAGCTCACCTTCTGAAATGGAGACCAGGCTGCTGGAGGTCTCTGGCCACGACACAAATAATGAATGTGGCTGCATTTCCATTGCTGACTGCGCTGGCAGCTGGGACTGCTGGTTCTTACCCCTGCCTGGCGCTGTCTAGGCAGGAACCCTCCCCGGTTTGGTGTCGTTCTCCCCCCTCATACAGGATCACTATGACTGGGGGCTGCGGGCCATCAAGTCCGTGCTGGTGGTGGCCGGCTCCCTGAAGCGCGCGGACCCCGAGCGCCCCGAGGAGCAGGTGCTGATGCGCTCCCTGCGCGACTTCAACATCCCCAAGATGGTGACAGAGGATGTGCCAGTGTTCCTGGGGCTCATTGGGGACCTGTTCCCTGCTCTGGACGTGCCTCGGAAGCGTGACCTGCATTTCGAGGCCGTGGTGAAGGAGGCAGTGCTGGAGCTGCAGCTGCAGCCTGAGGACAACTTTGTGCTCAAGGTAAGACAAGGCATGTTCAATATAGAATAAGAATATCAAGGGATGTTCTGCTCTACCTGCACCATCAGCAGCTCAGCTGGGTTTTCTCAGCCAGCTTTGCTTCTTCAAAGAGGGCTCTGCACAATCACAGGATGGTTTGGGTTGGAAGGAACCTTAAAACTCACCTTGTTCCACCTTCTGCCATGGGCAGGGACACTTCCACTATCCCAGGTTGTCCCAAGCTCTGTCCACCTCGTCTTGGACACTTCCAGGGATGGGCCAGCCACGATATTCCCCTTGCAGATAGACCTTGATGGAGGACAGTCAGCTATGCTGGGTCTGACTGCTCCTAAATCCAGCTCTGCCTCTTCCCTGGATTTACAGAGTCTGGCTCTTGTAGGCTTGTGCACATGCAGCCCCTGGAGTGCTGAGCCTCCTTGGCTGGTGGCTATCACATGTGAGCAGTGCTGGAGGTTTGTCTGCCTGCTCAGGATTTCACCCATCACTGTTAGAGTGGTCAGACCAAACTCGGGGTCAAATCCCTTTGTGTGTCTGGGTCACAAATTTCTATGTGAGAGGCCCCATGAGAGCTAATTTCACAGAATGGTTTGGGTTGAAGGCACCTTAAAGGACATCTCATTCCAGCCCCCCTGCCATGGGCAGGAACTCCTTGCAGTATCCCAGGTTTTGCACATCTGAAGTTCAGTTTGGCCTCCCTGTGTGAGCTCTGGGGGTGTTTCCCCAGGTGGTGCAGCTGGAGGAGCTGCTCAGTGTCCGGCACTCCGTGTTCGTGGTGGGAGCTGCAGGCACAGGCAAGTCCCAGGTGCTCAGGTCCCTGCACAAGAGCTACCAGAGGATGAAGCGCCGTCCTGTGTGGACAGACCTCAACCCCAAGGCAGTCACCAATGATGAACTTTTTGGCATCATTAACCCAGCAACGAGGGAGTGGAAAGATGGTAAGTGTCGTTTCATAGCTGAATTTGGAGATAAAGAGGGTATTTTAATGAAGCTCCTGAGTGGCAGCAGGAGGATGGGTCTGTGTGCAGGTCTCACAGCCCAGGTGCTGCTCCCAGGGTGAGGGTTTACTGTTAGAAGGGCATGTAGGGTGTTACAGCCTTTTGGGAATTGATCTTTTTGCCATAAGGATAATTATCATGTCCATTAACACTTCTCAATTTCTAGCTGGAGCAGGTTGTTTTTTGGGGCTGGGTGCTGATGGAAGAGGATTCCCTCCTGCCCTATGCTGTTCATTGGGCCCCCCAAAAAGTGCCATCACCAGATTTCTGTGTCTGGACACTCCCAGCAAACGTTTGAGAGGTGTTTTTCCACTAAATATCCCTGCCTGGGCGTTTGCCAGGCTGTTGATGCTGAATGCTCCTGAGGAGGATGAGATGAGCATTTAAAACCTGCTGAAAGATTTCAGAGATGTGGAGTGAAAACGTTGGGTTGTGACTAATCCAGAAAGGCAGCTTTGATTCCCTGTGTGGCTGTTCTGAGAGCTGAGGGGAGGTGAGGGAGGATGGCTCCATAAATCATCCTCGGCCAAAGGTCTCCAGGAGAGGAGCTGCCACCACCTCCCCTGCCCCCTGCTCTGCTCCAGTGCCTGGGTTAATTTCTTTTTAATTGTGATTGGGGACCCTAAATCAAAGTGACAGAGGGAAGTGTGGGATGTAGGCAGCACCCTGCAGAGAGAGCTGCACATTAGGGATTGTGGATCAGGGACTGTGGGTGGCACTGGACAGCAGGAGAGACACTGGCAGGTGGCTGTTCTCAATCCTCTAATGTTTCAAGAGAACTTACAGGACTCCTCTCTGATGGCTCAAGGGAGATATTTTCTGCATTATCCATTCCTGAAAATGTTGTTTCTTGATGTTAAAGAGCAGCCAGGCCATTTTCAGCACATCCTGATGAGAGAGGATGTGTCCCCTTATGGATCAGCTCCTCCTTTTCCTCTTCTCGAGTTCATCCTGTCACTCATTTCACTGCCAGCAGCTGGAAAGTTTGTACATGTTAGGTGGAAAAAGGTCCCACAAGGGAATCCTAAAAGTGTTATTTGTAGAACCAAACTCTTTCAAATCTCAAGAGCCCTCTGTGGTGTGGATGCCCGAGGCTGGGAGAAGGGCACTTCCCTCTGGCTGCTGCTGTGATGCTCCCAGGCAGGAGCTGCTGCTGCCACTGGCAGTGCTGGAGGGGTTGCCAGGCTGTGTCCAGCGTGAGGGATGGAGTCCAGGCAGAGCAGGGAGGTGTTTTGTCTGCCCCCAGCCCGTAGCTGTGGCAGCTGAGCTGTTCTGCATTTCTGGTGCACGAGTTTTGTTCTGGTCATGCAATGCCACCGGCGGTTCCTGCCCTGGGTCACCAGGGAACAGCTGGTCCTGGAGAAACAAAAAGCATGCCTGTCACAATCCACCACAAGAGAGGCTGTTTTTAATGTTTGCTTGATGTTCCTTCGTGCAGACCAGCCTTTCCCTTGGTATTTCCTCGTGTGGAGGAGAGTGATGGTTTTGTGGAGCTCTCATTTGCCCTGCAGTACTTGTGCTCTGTTCCCAGCTTCTCGCTCTTCCTAGCATTCATTATTTACTCCCCTTGAGACTCTGTATATTCTCTGTCTCCTTGATTTTACTGACATTTTGTTCTGTCACTCAATGTCAGTCTGGACATGTTCTCCCCTCAGTCTTACTAAAGCCATGACCCAGTGTTTAAAGCATCTTGATTTTCCTGATGTACTTCAAGCCAGGAAAAAAAAACAAATATAAGAATTTCCAAGGCATATTCAGATGGTTTTTCTCTGTGTTGTATAGTTTGTGGGTTTTTTTCCTCTGAGTATCTGCTCTTCATTTTTCCTATGTCTTATGGTTTTCAGTGGGAGTGAAGCTCATGTAGGCCTACAGTCATTCTCAGTGATAATAACTCTGATAATATTTTTTTCTTCAAAGCAGATATCATTATATAGTGTTATTTATGTCCAGATGCAAAGAATTATGAATGTTTAAGGGGAAAGCATGTTTTTTAGGAAATTGCTGGAAAAATCTGTTACAGCAAGCGACAACTTCAATGTTCATCAACATATTGGTGTCACCCTCCCAGGACTGTTCTCATCAATCATGAGAGAACTGGCCAACATCTCACATGATGGTCCCAAGTGGATGGTACTGGATGGAGATATTGATCCAATGTGGATTGAATCTCTTAACACTGTGATGGATGATAATAAGGTAATGGATGTAAGGTAAAGAAACAGGTATTCCTTGTTGGGTGTGATTCAGCCTGGGAGGAATGCAGATTGTAACAACATCTCCTGGAATAATGCAGCTGTGTTTCTTCAGACACACCAAACTATATTGCATAAAGGCAATGGTGCATGAGGGAAATAACTTAGAGCTTGTTTTCATTGGAATTTCTCTTTTCTGGAGAGTTGTGCTCGTGAGTAATTGCAAATGTCCTGATCATAACTTTAGGCCCATTAAAAGTAAGGTTGGGACATAATTCTGTGTCTTTTCCCCACCCTGAGGGAGTGCTTTGGTTTCTGGGTTGTGGAAGAGAGAAGGACCATGCTATGCCTGTCAGAAATCATGTCATGGCATCACAGAATGGTTTGGGTTGGAAGGGATCTTAAAGCTCATCCCATCCCACCCCTGCCATGGCAGGGACACCTTCCACTGTCCCAGGCTGCTCCAAGCCCCAGTGTCCAACCTGGCCTTGGGCACTGCCAGGGATCCAGGGGCAGCCACAGCTGCTCTGGGCACCCTGTGCCAGCCCTGCCCACCCTCACAGGGAACAATTCCTGCCCAATATCCCATCCAGCCCTGCCCTCTGGCAGTGGGAACCATTCCCTGTGTCCTGTCTCTCCACCCCTTGTCCCAAGTCTCTCTCCTGCTCTCTTGGAGCCCCTTCAGGTACCAAAAAGCCACAGCAAGGTCACCCCAGATCCTTCTTCAGGCTGAACAACCCCAGTTTTCTCAGCCTTTCTGAGAGCTAACAGAGCTGCTCCATCTTCTGCTCATCCTGGAGCCTCCTCTGGACTCTCTCCAGCAGCTCCAGGTCCTGCCAAGGCTGGGGCAGCTCTGCAGGTGGGGTCTCACCTGAATGGATCAGAGGGGCAGAATCCCCCCTTGTCCTGCTGGGGCTGCAGCCCTTTGCTGCTGTGCCTCAAGGAGCTGGGCTAGGCAGCCAAGCTCAGCTGTGCTAAACACTCTTCATTCCTGTTCCTGAGAGAGTTTGAGGCTGTCTGTCTGCACATGCAGGTGCTGACCCTGGCCAGCAACGAGAGGATCCCCCTGAACCCCAGCATGAGGCTGCTGTTTGAGATCAGCCACCTGCACACAGCCACCCCGGCCACCGTGTCCCGGGCAGGTGAGTCCTGTCTGAGCTGTACCTCACAGCAGGTGCCATCCAGGGCTGCTGTCAGTCTTCTGTTGGCCAGCTTGGTCCCTCTGAAAGCTGCCAGGCTGCCTGTGGAGTGCAGGGTGTGTTCCTGAAGCTCACAGGCACACTGAGGATCCTGAGCCTGCATGGGGGTGTGTCATTGTCTTGGGGGTGTACTCGGAGTGTTCCTGCTGCAGCACTGCTGAGAGAACACTTCTGCCCAGCTCTGTGTGATGAGCAGAGAGCAGTCTCTGTCCCAAAGAGCTCCTGATCTTTTGGAGCAGTGCATGGGAACAGGGAATGAAGGTGTCCCCTGGTGTCTGGGGCTCAGAGCAATAACCTGGCTCAGCAACACCGTGTTCTAAATTTGGGGCAGGGTCCTGAGAGGTGTCCTGGTTTCCTGAGTTACATCCCTTCACTGTTAATGTTTCTTCTCTGCAGTGGGGCAGGAGGAGGGGGCAGGTGATGAGGGACCAGGTGTCTCTGACAGGGTTTCAGTTGTTGGAGAGTAGCTGGAAGTCTCCGGAGGAAAAAGGGAGAGCTCTGCTGTGTCCTTACTCTTGTCTCTTCTGTACCTCGAGGGATCCTGTACATCAACCCCTCGGATCTGGGCTGGAATGCCCCTGTGAGCAGCTGGATTGACAGGAGAGAGGTGCAGTCTGAGAGAGCCAACCTGACCATTCTGTTTGACAAGTACCTGCCTGTCTGCCTGGACAGCCTCCGAACCAGGTACCACTGCAGGGTGCTTGTGTCTCCCCTGGCCAGGGCAGGCAGCCACCACCTCCCAGACCAGCTGTGCTCCAGGGCTGGCCGGGGTCCTCCTTGTCCCCAGGAGCCCTGGGTGTCACTGCCTCCAGCTCCAGGGAACTGTGGGGTGAGGGGGCAGCTGACACTCCTGCCCATCCTTGGTTGGTCTGATCTGCTTCTCCTTGGATATTGGTTTGATGGTTCCTGTGCTTGTATCGGTTCTGCATCTCTTGGAAATTAAATCCAGAGAATCCTAAAGGGAAAGTCTTTCCAGTCTCCCGACGTGTCAGGCCAGACCCGAGTTCACTGCACAAGTTTTGGGCCAGTAGAGCAGTTCAGACCACTGCTGAAAGTGTAGAAGATGCAGAGCAGATCCTCTTTTATCTTCTCCCCACATCTTTTCCTGCCCCTTGGGGATGAGGAAGAAGCTGGAATTGTGTGAGAGGGTGGGATTGCTCCAGAGGCTCTCTTGGATTTCTTTCCTGAAGCATTTGAACACAGCTGAGTCCTTCTGTGTGAGCATCCAGCCTGGGTGTGTTCCATGGCTGGACATTGACCACTGAATACAAAATACAGGACAAGGAGTGATGGTTTTAAACTCAACAAGGGAAAATTTAAGTTAGGTATTAGGAAGGAATTGTTCCCTGTGAGGGTGGGCAGGCCCTGGCACAGGGTGCCCAGAGCAGCTGTGGCTGCCCCTGGATCCCTGGCAGTGCCCAAGGCCAGGTTGGACACTGGGGCTTGGAGCAGCCTGGGACAATGGGAGGTGGCATGGCAGGGACTTGGAATAGATGACTTTTAAAAGTTCCCTTCCTACCCAAACTGTGATTCTCCATCCTCTGAATGTTCCCCATATCTGCAGTTTCATTAAAAAAAAAAAAAAAAAAGAAAAGTCAGTGAACACCTGAACCCATCAGCCCCAATGAGGAGGTGTCAGCAGGAGCTGCTTGTGTGCAAGTCTTGCTCCCTGGGACTGGGAGTTGGGAATCTTGCTGGGGAGCTGCTCTCTGGGTGCCCAAACTTTAAGGCTGTTGGCAGCAAAGCCCATGGAGCATCTCCAGCTCTCTCTGCTGAGCAATTGTCAGACCATGAAATCCCCAGGATTAGCTGCACCAGCCTCGAGCTGAGTATTTTGGTAGCTTGCTTAATTCAGAAATTGTAGAACCAACCTTTCAAATAGCTCTAATTACTTTATGGAGGACTTCAGTGCTGCTACAATATTAGTTTGGAATTCTGTAAGTGTAGCTTAAACGAATGTAAAATGGCAAGATGAAAGGTTTTATTTTATTACTGCTCTATTTGACTGCTTTTGAACTCCTCGTGCTCCCAGGAAATCATTGCCTTTAGCAACTCCTGCATTTTACTTCTTTCAAGAGGATCAAAGTTTTTAAATGCCTGAAACTTCTGATTACTGTTATTACGTGTGTGTGTGGCAGTGCCAGCAGGGCCAGGCAGAGGATGGGTGCTCTCCTTAGTGCTTTTCCAGGAAATGAGACACCCACTGCTGACAAGGAAAATGCTGATATTCTGGGGAAGCATTCCTGCCTTGCTTTCCTGAGCTGGGAGCAACCCTGGTGCTTCACCCAATTCAATTTCCCGATTATGTTTTCCATTTCCATCCCTCAGATTTAAGAAGATCATTCCTATTCCTGAGCAGAGCATGGTTCAGATGCTGTGTTACCTCCTGGAATGCCTCCTGACAGAGGACAACACACCTCCTGACTGTCCCAAGGAGCTTTATGAACTTTACTTTGTCTTTGCTGCTGTCTGGGCCTTTGGTGGGTCCATGTTCCAGGACCAGGTAAGAAGGGAGGTGCCACATCAGCATCTTTCAAGAGATCTTTTATTGCCCTTTTTTTTCCTACTTTTTTCTATTTTCCTGGACCTAAAGCTGTGTCAGTGATGCTGTTTGACCTGGAAACCTGAACTAAACAATCCCTTTCATGAAAGACCTCATTATCCAGGGGGTAACACTGGAGAATGGCCAAGCTCAGCGTGGGGCTCCCTGGGTGCCATCACCTCAAGGAGATGTGTGGAGAGCATGAGCAGCTTTCCTGGTGCTTGTGGAGGGTTTAACCCTCCATTCCCTGTGTGCCAGCTGGGTTCACAGCCTTGGTTCTGCCAGTGTGACTTTTAAGTCAAGCCTGGGAGCAGGGCTGGCCCTTGCCCAGCAGCACAAGCTGCTGCCTCAGCAGAGGAGCTTCAGCCCCTCCTCTGGCTGGAGCACGGCTGGTGGCACCTGGACATGGCATTCCCGTGCCATAGCAGCTGGTCGTGGCATGGCAGGGCCTTGGCACAGCTGGGTGTGTGGCAGGAGGGGCTGGGAGCAGGCTCAGCATCTCTCTGGGAGGATTCTGGGCGTTGCTGCTCTGTAAATGTCAGGGAGGAGAGCGTGAGCACACGGCGTCCGAGCGAGGGGGAGCCTGATGAAAAATGATCCAATATAAAAGCTGTTTATTGCTCCCTGCTGAAGGTGCCCTTCCTGGTGACCTTTTGCTGCTGAAATGTCAGGAGAAACAGGCTGGAAGGCTTCCCACTGCTCGGCGTTTGTTGGTGGGGAGCAGGGCCCCTCTAAAACCAGATGATAGATTTGCCATTTGCAGGCTCTGAAATTAGCAGAAATCCATATGGGGTTTTTGTTAAGGAAGCAGTTTGAGCTCGACACCATTCTGGCAATAGAGCTGGGGCTGGGACTGCTCCACTTAAGGGCTCAGCCCCTCCCAGCACTGCGAGCAGGGCGAGGCACCACTGTGAGAGCTTTTAGCAGCACTGCACATCCCTTTTCTGCTGCTGGCTGAGGAGCTGTGACAACAGCAGCGAGGAGATTACAGTCATTCTGCCTCTCTGGGTAGCACGGGACTGCAAAATCCTGGATGCTAATCATGTGTTTTCCAAATCCTCTGGTCTTTTGATGTGTGGTGGCTCGGGGAGCTCTGCAGAGGACACTCAGTTCAAAGCCAGGTTTCCTGAGGGAGGCTGAGCAGTCCTTGGTCCCACCTGGTCCCAAAAACCTGTGGGGTGGCTATGGGGAGGAGATACCTCATAGAGATGCCCCAGGAACAAACTGTGCTGCTAAAACTGGCTCAGTGATGCATCTGCCCTCTCCCAGATATCTTTTTAGCAGCATTTTCCCCCTCCTTCTCCCCTGTTTCTCCCCAGCTGAGGCTGCAGTCCCTGTGCTCTGCGTGGGAAGGGTTCAGACAGTGGCTGGCCCAGTTTCACAGAGGAGACCCGAGGCAGGGAAGGAGACTAAGCACATTTTGCAAATCCTGACTTTAAAGAAAAAACTGACACCCCAGCTCCCAAAAAAAGTTCAGATTATTTAAAATCTTCATGCATGGAGAGATAGAAGGGGGGAAAGCAGGAAAGCAGAACTTGCTGGGCCCTATAGCAGCAGTCCCTCTCCCATTCTTTGCTGAACTGGGATCTGCAGTCCTGCTGCTCCTGCTTGGAAAGAGGCCAGAAAACAACAACTAAGTGTTTGCAGGGTGATGTGATTTATGAGGAAGAGATTTGGTATGCATGCTCTGACTATCCATGGCCACGGATGGAGATGGATGTGGTGTCCTTGTCTGTTGGAAGAAGTAGGCACCAAAAATCAATCAAGTGTCTGTTTAGTCATAGGCACGTATTTCTCTTTTTCAAATTGATCCCTCTGTCTAATCTCAGACACACTAGGAGTGATCAACATAGAGGATGAGTTATTTAGGGGAATAAATAGGAGTGATGAGAAAAAATGAAGAAAATGAAAAATTAGACTTAATAATAGGAAAAAAGGATAAGATTGTTATACTGTGGAATATATTTTTAAGGACTAATCCCACTCTGGTGGACTGGGACAAAGAACATTCTCCATCTCTAATGAATTTCTCCAGATTTGCTATTTACTCTTCTTTTTGTCCTGCAGCTCGTGGACTACAGAGTGGAGTTCAGCAAGTGGTGGGTGGCAGAGTTCAAGACAATCAAGTTTCCTTCTCAGGGCACAGTCTTTGACTTTTATGTTGATCCAGAAACAAAGAAGTTTGAGCCTTGGTCTAAACTTATTCCCCAATTTGAATTTGATCCAGAGGTGCCACTGCAGGTGGGTGACCTGGGCAGGTGCTGGGCTGGAGGAGTTCCTGTGTTTCAGTGAAGTCTGGTGAAAGGTCAGGCACTGATGGAATTCTTTATGGGATACAACTGAATTACCCATCTTTTTTGCTGTGCTTTGACTGTAACAGCACAGCCTCCATCCATCTTCCAAACATGAGTGATGTACAGCAGGGGCAGGGAGCTGCTGTGCCCAGAGAGAAGTGGTGAGGCAGAGCAGGGACAAAGCCTCTGAGACACCATGACTTGTCATTCTCTGTGGCTGCAAATAGAGATGAGTTTATGTTTGGGACAAGCATAGAGTTCCTCAGGTAGTGAATTGTGGTTGCCAGTTGCACTTTTCTGTTTTTTTAAAGTGCCACAGTGAGCAGATGACTTGTAAAAATCATCACTGTTTTAGCAAGGTGTGATTCTGTGGGGGGATCCAGGTGCTGCTCCCAGGGTTAATCCAGATGGATTTTAATGGCTGGCAGCAGCAGATCATCCCTTCCCTAGTGCAGCCTGGAAGCTGGGCTCACCTGCCTCATTCCTGCCTCTCCCAGGAGGTGGCTGTGGGGTGGTGGTGATGCCTTTTCTTGGTCCTAGAATTAAGAGTCAGACACAGGGATCTAAAAGGGTTTTTACCTCAGTATTTAATAAGGATCTTTATGGTGCAACAGTTTATCAAGGTGGAATATGTTGAAATGCATACCCTTGGTAGAGAACGTATACAATTTTATAGACCTTGCAAATTAGCATATCTAACAAAGATTTCTAATGAATGGCACTATATCTCTTTATTTTATAGTATTCTCCCTAGATGGGTTTGATCCTAGTTTGTAGGATATGTTCTGGAGAGAATCTTGTTTTCTCAAGACAGTGTAAGGCTTTCCAGTGTGAGGCTTATACCAGAATACCAGGACTGTGCTAAAATACCAGGCTAAAAGAATTGCAAGAATACTGGGAGCACATAAAAGGTACATAAAAAGGAAAGGCAAAAAATCATCATGGCATTGATGCCTTGGAGAGCCCATCTAGAACAGAGTTAAGGGAATAAAGTGGGGATTTGTTAAAGGCTTTCAATAGATCCACCTTGGGCAGTCAAAGCCTCCCAGAGGCTACACCCAGAATGGACAATGGTCATGAGTGTTTCAGACAATTTTAAGTTTGGTCTATTTGCATATCAGGGGTTAATTCTCCAATTACAGCTTCAGGTAATGAAGTAATTTACCCCAGTTTGTCCCTCCCCCCCAGATTCACTTTTGTTTATACTTTTTTGAGGCCCGAGGCTGACCTTGGTTCTTAGGCTTAGAAGGATTATTTAGTGTGACCAAAATACGAAGTCAGTACCTAACACTCCATCCGGAGTCCGGAGTTCTACAGTGACGCAGTGCAGGATCTGAAAAAAAAAATATAAAATCTAACAGCTAAAAACTGAAGGCATCAGCGTTGGTGGCAGGGCTGGGGACACTGAGGTGGGTGCTGTGTCCCCAGGGCTGCCTGGTGCCCACGGCTCAGAGCGTTTGCCTGCGGTTCCTGGTGGCCGGGCTGCTGCAGCGCCGGCGCCCTGTGCTGCTGGTGGGCACTGCTGGCACGGGCAAGTCTGTGCTGCTGGGGGACACCCTCTGCTCCCTGGACACACAGCTCTTCCTGGTGAAGAAGGTCCCCTTCAACTACTACACCACCTCTGCCATGCTGCAAGGTAAGCTTTTAAAGCAGGGGAGGGTCGGGTTGGACATCGGGAAGAAATTGTTCACAGAAAGGATGGTTGGGCATTGGAATGGGCTGCCCAGGGAGGTGGGGAGTCACCATCCCTGGAGATGTTGGACAAAGCCAGAACTCAGGGCCATGGTTTAGTTGACAAGGTGGTGTTGGGTCACAGGTTGGACTCAGTGATCTCAAAGGTCTTCTCCAGGCAGGTTAATTCTCTGATTCTGTGTAATTCTGGGATTCTATGGGATTCTGTGTGATTCCCTAATTCTGTGGGATTCTGGAATTCTGTGGGATTCTGTGACATTCCTGGGGCATCCATTGGAGTTTGGAGTGAGATGTGCACAGGGAGGCTTGAGGAAAGACCCGTGGGTGCATTGCCTGTGTTGCTGTGGGCACACTCCCAATCCCACAGTGAAACTCTGCTCAGCAGAGCCCTGGTTTTGTGGAGATGATGTTTTCCAACCTGAGAATTTGCATTCTTAACCCCAGCACTCTGGTTCAGGGCTGTGCCAAAGCCCAGGCTTCAATCTGCTGCAGTATTCATGGCTTGTATTTGACTTGAAGTGTTTCTTTAACAGGCTGGAATTGAAGAGTAAGATGGGTTTCTTGGAGAGGATCCAAACTGTCCTCGGGGTGCAATGATGGGAATTGCATCCCAATTAGCAGTGAGGATGGTGCTGGTGGATAAGTGCAGGCTGGAAGCCAGGGCTGGTTCAGGGGGCTGTCCTCTTATCCTGCCACAGCCCAACATGTCCCATGGACAGGTCCCTACCCCCTCCCCAGGGGCACAGAGCTTGCTGACCTGTGGGGCTCAGACCCCCAAGGAATTTCTGGCCCCAGCGAAGTCCATAAGAATATTGCTGATGAGGATTTTGAAACATCAGTGAAAAAATAAGTTTGAGCCAGAGGTAGAGTTTGCTGTGTAGTCTCTTCAGAGATGGAGAAAAAGCAAGAAATTCTTGAAAGCTATCTCATTTTAAAATGGTGTCCAATGAGAGATAAAATAATTTGACATATATTTATTAACCAGTAACAAAGCAACTTGGTTTGAGTTTAATTACAACTGAGTCACTGTAAACCACACTGATTCCTTTATGCAGTTGGGTTTAACCTCAATGTCCTGAAATCACAGAAGATTCTGAGTTAGAAGGGACCCACCAGGATCATCAACTCCACTTCTTGAGCATATGGCCCATCTGGGAATCAAATCCATAACCTTGGCATTATTAGCACCATGCTCTGCCCAACTCAGCTCATCTCCTTCTACTTCCCCAGAGCAGCTGTGGCTGCCCCTGCATCCCTGGCAGTGCCCAAGGCCAGGTTGGACACTGGGGCTTGGAGCAGCCTGGGACAGTGGGAGGTGCCCCTGCCATGGCAGGGAGTTAAAATGAGAGGATCTTTAAGGTCTCCTCCTACCCAACCCATTCCACGATTCTGTGAAGCTTCAGGGAGACCAGGGAATAAACCCAAAGGGGTTAAACCTTCCCTCTTTGGGCTGTTCCTGGCTGAGTGGTGCCAGCTGGGGACATGAGTGTCCCCGGCTTCATCCCTCCTCTGCCAGGCTCCCAACACTGCAAACATTTTCAGGAAGGTTTTATAGTTTAAAATTGCTCTCTGAGGCTGATCTGTTCCCAGAGAGGTGACAGCACAGGCCCAGCTATGCCCTGGGGCCATGCTGTGGGATCACATCTGCTCTCTGGGGAAGGCTTGAGAGGTTTCTGGGCTTGCTGGTGCCTCTGCACACAGTAAATTCTTTGGGCTACTTGTCCTTCAAGAAAAAAAATGGGTAAAACCTCCCCTTGTGGCCAGCCAGGGACAGTGTGATGGTTCCACCTCCCTTTATCCTTTTCCTCCTGGAGTGGGAAGTGCCCTGGGTTGGGGAGGGGGCTGAGCTGAGTGTGCTCAGCAGCCTGGGGGGACCCTGGTGTTCCCCTCCTGCCCAGGTGTGGGGCAGGTACAGGGTGCAGGTACAGGGTGTCCCTGTTGCTCTGGGCTCCAGGCTGAGCCCTCCTCTTCTTTCCTCTGCAGAGCCCAGCACATCTTCATCACAGGCAAGTGTGATTTATGCTGCTTGGCATCCTTCCCCACTGCTCATTTTTTAGTTAATTTGTCCCTTTTTGTAGAGTTTGTCAGTTGGCTGCTTTTTTTCCTTCCCCAGCAGGTGCCTCTTTAGATTTGTAAAATGAGAATCCAAAGCAGTTTGGGATTTTAGTTTTTATTTACTTTAGAAAGAGCCAACCTGAAAGCCAGAAATTCTTAGTCAAGGTGCCTGTGGGACAGAGATTTTTAAGGTGCAGAGCTGCACTCTTCAGGACAAGCACAGGGATGTGGTCCAAACAATCTTTGTGGACCTGTAGCTTACAGATTTTTATGTGCATAGGGGTTAAATGGAGCTAGACTCTCTCTGTGCCCAAACCTGGGCACAGTTTGGGGATTTTCTTTGGTGTATTGTCACCAAATCCCACTCTCTGTGTAGCCTGGACCTCTGGTGTGCTGCTCCATGCCCTCCTGGAACTCTGCTCCTCCATCAGCTGCATCCCTGCCCTCGTTCCCCACCTTCTCACTCTGGATCTGCCTTGAGAAAATGACAATAAATGTTGGTTTTTTGGGCTTGGGTATTTTTCCCCTTGGCCATCAGGGTGGAGAGGAGCCACACTTACCAAGTCTGGCATGCAGGGGCTGATGGGGACGTGTCAGGAGCCCAGAGCAGGGACCCTTCAGGATTATTGTAGGATAAGCTTTGAATTAAAATGCAACTTCCACAAACATGTCACTTCATCCCCAGTAATTGCATTTCACTATGATGAATCTCCTGCATCCTTGTTTAACCTCGAAAAGGGCTGATTTTATATGTTAATTAAGGCCTAATTAAATTTAAATTAAATGCTTATTTGAAACACTTAATTTGACTTGCTACCAGAAATTTCAAATATCATGGTTTTATTGAAGGGGGAGAGAGACTCCTCTGAGGAAAAATCTATCATTTTTCTAAGCACAGTTCATGGCTTTGTGCAGAAGTGTCTGCGACAAGAAAACTGTTGAATTCTTAGTGGGTAACCAGGCTGTCTGCAGGGCACACAAGCAGGAAACAAATGGGGTTTCAAAAGATTTGTGGTCTGAAAAAAAACAGAATATAAATTTTCCCTAATAACTTTTGCCCTTGATAAGGAATGGCTGAAGTGTGTATTTGCAAAAAATTTTTTATCGAAACTCCCAGTTGTCCCTAATTACAAAGGACTGCTCCTTGCCTTGCTGCTGCTTACAGGACTGGTGATAACCCCAGACTGTGTGAGTGAAACAAATTCTGCTTCCATCTCCAGGGAGCACCTGGGAGTGAGGATGGGCTCCAAGAATAAATCAGGAATGAAAATCAGGCAGGAAAATCATCCCAGGACCCAGAAAAGCTGCTCCTGTTTGCTTTGCCCTTTCCTGAGTGGCTTGGTTTGAAAAGACAGGTGTCTGCTAAGGAAGGCAGGACCCTCTTTTGAAATGGAAAATGTAAACATACTCCCTCCAAATTATCATAATTGTGAAATTAAGGGGAAAAGGTATGGGAATAGGAATAACAGTTCTTTACTAGGAAATAAAAATGCAGTAATAAAAAATAAATTAAAAAACAAAAAAAAAAACAAAAAAAAAACAACAACAACAACAAAAATGACAACCAAAAGAACCACCAAACATTGACAGAGTCAGGATACAACCTGGTCAGGGTGTTGTTGCAGTCCCATTCCATGGTGGCTGCATCCTCCTGCAGTGACAGATGTGGTTCTGCTGGAGCAGGGCTCCTGCACAAGGTGCAGTTTTCCTCCAAAGCTGCAGGGATGATGTGCAAGGCTCTGGTTTTCCTCTGGGATCCAGTGGGAAAAGGCTGCTCTGCTGTTCCAAATCTCCCCTTTGA